GAGGTGCTTTTGCCAATCTCCGCCACCTGTGGCGCAGACGCGACATTACTCTCGCCCTGAAGGGCAGAGTTTATAACGCAGCCATCCGTTCACCTCTTCTATATGGTCGTGAAACCTGGCCCATCAGGTCGACAGACATAAAGAGGGTAGTCACATTCGATCATCACTGCCTTCGCAGCTTAGCTCATGTCTGGAGGGAGCACCGCGTGATCAATGAGCGTGTTCGGCTCGCGTATTTGGTGTAGGAAGAGTGAGTGAACCGCTCAGCACCATTATATCACGCACCTGGCTCCGATGGCTGGGCCACGTGTTGCGCATGCCAGCACACCGACTCCCGCGACGTGCATTGTTTGCGCGCTGTAGGTGCGGTTGAAAGAGGAGGAGGGGAGGCCAAGCGATGACTTGATCGAGAGGAATGTAAACTCTCACTTGAACGTTGGCGTCGGTTGGTGCATCCCGACTGCCTGGCTGGGGTCCTAAGGACGGTGAACACGTTTGGTTGGACACACTTGCTGATATGGCTAGAAGCGGGCCGAATGGCGTGTGTGTTGTGAGTTTCTTTGTCCATCCCCCTCCAATCACAATCACATTCGTTCAGCATAACATAACTTTCTGCGGCACGATAGCCGGCTGTTAACTCTCCGGAACGATGTCCATCCGTTACTGAGGACTCAGCCGGTGTGCCACTGGAATTTTTTTTGTCCTTTTATTGCGGAACAATAGCTGAGGTGTTTTCCACCTGCAGCTAACGTGTATAATGACGATGATGATGATAGATCCGCTTTAACTAAGGCCCTTAATTGATCGTTGTTCGCTTCCAGTGGTCGTCCACAACGCTCTTCATCTTCAAGCCTCTCGGAAACTTTTCGAAACTTTGAAACCACCATTGAGCAATGTTTCCAGTACCAAATGCACTGTCGATGTCATGACCTGTTTTCGCTGCATTTCGACCAAATTTAAACCGATACAAGGAAATTGCGCGAATTTGTTTACCACCCATGCTGCATTAAATGTTCTGTAAAGATGTAAAACGCGTTACTGAGCTAAACTCGCACTATTTCTAGATAGAGCGCAACACAGGTATCAAAATAATATACAAAGTACAAACACCTTGTTAAAAATTATTCAAAACATCTGCTAAACTAAACATATCAAAAAACCGCAATAACCTTATCAGCAATCTAATCGAATGATTCCATAGACAACGCAACATACCACTTTACTTCCTATCCTGGCACGAACCACTTCCGCTCGTTCTCCTTGGAATTAGGAACACAGTGAAAACGGACTTGCAGGTAACTCCTTTGCTAGTATTCCACTACACAGATCACTTCCTGGTGAACTTGTCTCACCGAAAGCTCCAACAACCTCGACTATGGCGATTACGCAGCTCCCCTGTCTTACAGTATGCGATATCTTCAGTCTGTGCAACCAAGTGCACAAAGCTTGCGTACGAACTTGGACTAATGCCGTCCTACTTGCACCCACAGGTTCGATCGCACTGACTTTGTACATCGGCCACTCTAGCCTCCCTATCCTGGCCTGTACCGTATCTCACTGTGACTGCATCTACACATGGATCATGGAGGGCTTTCGCTGCTCCATTCACACATCAGGTATTTAACTTAAACCCGCAAGAATAAGGCTGCTTGGCATGTAGACTGGCGCCACGGCTGATTCAGCCGTCGCAACGTGACTGGACCTCGAGGTAATGCGACGGTTTGCGTACCTTTGACTCATTGAGCTACGCTGGGTATTGCCTCCGGGCCCCTTGAGAACTACTTTCAAGTTGGGCAGTGGTTAGAGGTCAGACAAACTACTTCTTCTTGTACTCCAGCTTGGGAGTTGGAAATGGGATGGCGTTCATTTCCATAAAACCGCGTCATTGTCACCTCCCAGCTGCCTTGCGAACAGGTTTTTGATCCAAAGATTTTGTTTGAGGACTCTAATCGTTCTCTTGTGTATGTTTAGGTGCCCTGGAAGTATCTCAGCACACGTACAACCATGACGACTTTCTCAAACTCCAACCACATCCTGTATCGGCTGTCGCGCAGCTTATCAAGAGCCGCCTTATCTGCTGCGCACAGCAGGGCGGATAAGCGAAAACATGCTACTGCGGTCCCCTCCTTTCTTTCTTTTCCATCTGTTTCTCTTACTCTCCTCCCAGCCTCCATTACTAATTTTCTATAGTTTCCAGTTTAATAGACAGCCGTCGCTATGCCACACTGCGTCTCGCATTGTCCGAGAATACAGCATTACTTTATTTACGGTTAACTTCCCGTACCACCCACTGGGCGCCCATCGGCAGCAGTCCCTTATAAAGCCACGCTGTCTCGTTTCCCTGGCGGCGTCTGACGTTCGCACTCTAAGACAAGTAAGCCAACAGACCGCTTTCGCACGCACCTTGGACACACTGGGTATCGAAGTGTATTGCGTATCCGAAACTAGGATCATGGGGCTGTTGAATTAACTGCGCTTGGCTTGTCCTCTCGCATCCGGAGACGGTGGTGCGACAGTCACTGGTCAAGCTGGGGAGGGGGCATCGCTTTCAGTTCCAAGACTGAGCCGCCATTGCTTGGTTGGATTCGCGGGAACATCTGTTTGTGTGCAGCCCGTTTGTCAGCCTCAACAAAGTTTGATTCACGAAGTAACACTAGACACTGCTTGTTTGTGACGTCCGCTTATGCCTCTACCGACTGCAGTTCTGATGTTATCAAGGACGCTCTCTAGCACGAACTGAACACGCAACTAAGCAGTATCACCGTTTCAGATATCATAGTACTCCCAGGGGATGCGAATGCGCTAGTAGATCGCCTGGGTTCTTCGGATGCCCAACTAGGTGGTAATTGTGGGCATAACTTCATACAGACGGACAACGGTGAGCGTCTCTTGCAACTGTGTGCGGAGCACCGGCTGTATCTTAGCACTGCTTTTAGGCACAATGGTACTTGGCGTTCAAATATTATTGTCTAGATATAGACCCAAATAGATCACATTACCATAAGTTGCTGATGGCCTGCTTCCATCCTGGATTGTCGCTCGTTCTGTACTGTTTGTGTCGACTCTGATCATGCCTTGGTACGCTGTCGTTTTCCATGACCTTTACCGGGAGGAGTTCCAAGCGTTTCACTCGATTGGCAACTGAAAAGTTATCCCAGCCCTCCGTCAGGCGAACCCACCAGGATGTTTTGCATCCTGAACTTTCGCTCCCTTATCCTAATGACACTGAGCTTCAGTGGAATAGGATCTCGGCCGCCATACACGACGCAGGAGCGTATGCTTGTGGTACTATCAGTCGTCACGACACCAGTTATTGGATATCCGGGAGGTCGGTGAACCTGTTGGAATCTAGAAGAATACTCCCGACTGGCTTTGAGTACAATGTAACTAGGCGAACTATTAGACGCGAACTATAGTGGCTCCTGCGTCCTAACAAGGACGCCTAAATGACCAGTCGAGTTCAGGAAATAGAGTAGGCGGGAGCAGTAGGCAATTACCGCAAGCTCTTCTAGCTGATCCACACCACTGGTGGTCTCTAGAGGCCAGGCGTCAGTGCGACAATCAGAGATAGTGCGGGTGCTCTGATTCACAATAGGGAGTGTTGTTTGGCTCTTTGGGTGGAGCACTTTCGAGATCAATTCACTTGTACCTCTACTCATACACCTCTTAGTACCCAGTTGATGCAGGCTGAGCCATGCCCGGTTAGTTCAGAAGCTCCGTCGGAAACTGAGGTGAAAAACGCGATCACAGCCTTTATTCGTTTTCGAGCTGCATGTCCGGATTCCCTCCCACCTGCACTATTTAAGAATAGTAATGGTCCTCTACAAAGTACTGACCTCCCTAGCTGGAGTAAATCAATTATAGTGGCAGTATAAAAGTAGGGCGATCGCGCCGACTGCACTGATTTACAGGAGCATTAGCCTAACGCCTGTGGTGACAAAATTAATGACCTGGATTCTGGTACGTCGCCTCATTGCGGAACGAGAATTTTGGATTAGGGAATAGTATGCAGGTTTCTGCTTAGCACTGGGCTGTATAGACTACATATTCACTGCGATAGGTGCCACAGCAGCGGCACACATACCGCAGGCCGACAGTAGCTGGGTTCTTCGACTTCAAGAGTATGTACATCTCAGTCGATCGATGCATTCTGTTCGGTGACGTATCCGATATATTCGCAACAACAAGTTGCGTTCGTCAGGGTTGACCAATTTCCCCGTTTGTGTTCAACTGCTTCCTGGACTGCATCATGAAGTGTTCACTTGCGGAGTCTCAAAATGAAGGCGTTGGCGTGCTGCCTGGTGAAAGGCTAATTGATGTAGGCTTTGCGGACGATATTGTCTTGCTGTTTAACAACTGTTCGGTTGGCTTATATATATATATATATATATATATATATATATATATATATATATATATATTATCCGGCTGCCTATTGTAACGTAATTATCGGGACCATATAGACCTAAGCACATGTTAATGTTTTACAGCTTAGTCTTCGATATGTTGCTTTCTGGCCAGTTACTTCCACTTGATTTCCATTATTTGGACTTTCCAATCATGTTTTAAGAAGCATCAGTTTGGAATTTTTTCCTCTAAGAATTATTTCCTTTTACTGGAGAAGCATTTGACTCCCTCAAACTGCAACCTGCAGAGTGCTGGTGTCATTGGCTGCAGTAGACTTTCTGCCTAGTGGGTTGTTTTTCGGTCTCCCATTCCTTATTTGACTCTAGATCACGTTCAGTTGTTTGTTCTCTTTTTACTTCGTAGGTTGGCCAGTGGTCCCGATTGTTGGTTTACTTTACTATCCAGCCTCGTCACTGGGGGCCGTGACCCACACATGGTCCTCAACATCGCTTTCTCTTCTTGTTCCCGTTTCTACTCCTTGAATCGCACTGAAATCTTTTTCCATGTGCTACGCGAATGTCTTGCAACCTTTGGTACGTCTGTGGTACTGGCCACTTCTCTCCATTTTTCTTACGCTTTCCATGACTTTTCAGTCCGACAAAGAGGATAGAATCAAACAGATGCAACTAATGGAACTGTCCTTCAGACGAGGTAGAGCTGCAACGAGTGCTCGCGCGTCCTTCATCATGTCAGATAACGCGTGCTTCTAATCCTCTCTATTCCAATTAGTGTGTGTGTGCGTTTGCCCCATTTTCATCTGACCGCCTTCTAACATCAGTCGGGTGTTCTAAACGAACCGACGTCAAGTTATCCTTCCCATTTATGTGCTCGGTGTTCTAGTGTGCACTCCGTCGGCTTGGATTTCGTTCAGCATTAACCCATCTAACTCATCGGTGTACAGAACACGTTGGGTGATCATCAAATGTCTTCAACTGGATGCACAATTTGTATCCGACTACGCGACCGCATTCTCTCCTGTTTCGACGGTTAGTTAACTCAGTCACTCGTGGACTTCCATTGAAAGGCACACTCACTCATGAGCTAAAAAGCGAAGTAACCCTCACTTGTTTATATGAGTGCGTATGGTGGCTGTCCGTTTGGTCAAATTTTACATAAACTCCCTTGCGATTCGCCTTTTCTAACATCGTCCAGGCGATGTAGCCCGGCACCCATTTTCTAGGTGCTTTTGACACATCATGTTCACGTTTCATAATGCAATGAATTAAATCCTACAGGATTTATAACATGCACAGTTGTACAAATAAATAAATAAACAAACTTTTATTCTCAACAATGCAAAGAACACCTTTACAGGCATGATCATGTTAAGCTAACATAGTGTAATCAACAATGTACCAAAATACATGTTTGGCATGACAATGAATGTGTGTATGGGTGTGTATACGTACCTACGTGTATATACGTATGTAATTGTGTTTGAATCTAGCTGTGTAGCTTGTGTTTGTGAATGTGCCGCAGCATTTCTGACTGTTTAATCGTCAGGAATGTAAGAATAAGCGATTGATGTCCGTGTCATTTATTTGCTACTTTCGTTGGGAGTCCCTGTTCTCTCGTTTGGTTGACCACTTCTATCACTGAGCGTTTCATTTGTCTGTTACTCACTCGGCCCTTGAACACATCTGCGTCTCTTATGAGCTAACGAGTTCTTATTTACCGGAACTGGAGACCGTTCACCACCCAACTTGTCTGGCTGCTGCTTTACTTTAGCAGAGGCACCATACTCAGTTTTGGCTCTATTTGTGATCATTGTTCTTCTCCATGTTCCGTCCCACTTGAGCTACATGAGCTCACCATCCTTAATTGTTTGCGTCACATTGGATTGCTAGATTGATACATCCGACTCTAAAGCGAATGTGCTCTGCCGACGACCCCGCTCCTCGGATAGTCTCGATCACACCCCACGATTTGTGGTTTACGTCAGTGCTCTGTGATAATATTGAAAAACTTACCGGTGAATATCGCGCCTTCGGGAAATTGCTCATTTTATTTCTATATCTTTCCACATTGTTAGAGCGCTCTCAACACAAACATCTTTTAGCCTTTTTTCACCAACATAGTGTGCGATCGAGTGTATCTCTTGCAACTAGCCTTACGACATTTGTTCTCTGCTCCAGTTACCGTCTCTGGTCACACTTTCAGTCGAACTCGTGTTTTCACGCTGAGCGAGTTATCTATCTGCAAAACTTAATAAACTCTAAGCTTCTAAGGTCACTTTTTTCGTTTTTTTTACTCTCCTCCCTGAATATTCACCTTTCATTGGTGTACAAACTACATCCTCGACTTAACTTGATGCCAAGATCGCGTTAGGGAGTCATTTGTAAAAGCGTATACAACAACAACATCCGTAAGCAACTGGTTATTGTGCGAGGATACGTCGGCATCGTTTAGACACCTCCCTTGCGACCTTCACTACTTCGCGTCATGATCAACCTGATTCTTCAGATAACGGTATCAACAGAGTGCCATTATAATTAGGGGGCGGCTGCAACCTTGTCACTGATGCCCGCCACGTCCCACTCCCTGGAAACTTTTCACCTTAGTACAAAGTGGGCCAATCCAATAGTCAATGACTTCATTTCCCACTGATGGGTCAACAATAGCCCCACTCGAGTTTTACATTGACTTAGGTCAGGTAAACAGCACAGATTCTTCTCGACAAGCACTGCATGGGTTCATGTAGTAAGTGCCCAAGCCAACGCAATCTATTCAGTCTTATCGGTTGGTCTAACGAACTGATTTGGCCACCGCAGCCCAGCACTCGTCTGCGCGCCCCACCGTTTCGGACACAATGGTTGTACCCGACACAAGTGGTAATCTGTAGGCAAGCTTGGTCAAAGATCTAAAGACACTTGGGAACTTCAGATCGCACGATCAGATATGACGACTTTCACCGCGGTCCAGAAAATATAGTATCTAAAAGCAGAGGGATTCATCTGCTGATACCAAAAGTGTACAGATTCCCAGAAGCAACTCTTGTCTTAACAATACGTGAAGCGTGATCGGCGATTGCACGGCAGTTGCTGTCTGTACTGCACCCAGATGAAAGAATTGATCAGCTATTTTCCGTATATTTATTTCGTTCATCGCAATCCACTAGCGGTCGTGATTTACATCCTCAGCAAGGGACCGAGGGGATGCACACCACTTATTAGTCCCAATAGGACGAAACGATCGTCTGGTGTTTTTCCTGATTGGTAGCTCACTATTGCGACTTGTAATCCAATTGCTGTGAATCAAATACAAATCATTCCCAAATCCGTCTACTCACTAGTAATCAAAAACTCAGCCCTGCCAGTCTTCAAAATGCTGTGTGGATTCATGTTACTGGCAAGGAAAGTCCTGACCCTGATGGCCAACCACTGTCCTGTGCACTGGCAGTAACCTGCATGGCAGTGTAGAATGGGTTGACCTATATCACCGTTAAATTTTAATACCTGATGCTCGGCCATCATCCCCCGTGGCTCATTGGCACAAGCTGCTGGCTAGTGGTCCAAGCCACTTGCGGTCATGGGACCGGGGGAATACGCACCCCTGACGAGCCCGATAGGGCGAAACGCGTCCGGTGCTTTTTCAGATTGGTAGCTCCCCTATGTTGCCTGTAATCTAATTGCAATGAACCAACTAAAAATCCTGCCAAAATCCGTCTATTCACTGGTATCCCCAGTATCTCGTGTGGAAAAAACAAAGGGCAGGCAGACAATTGGCTATGCTGCTACAACATCTTGTACTTCGAAAGTGTGAAACTTATTCCTTTCGATGGTACCACTCCAGAGTTAGTAGAGTTGCTTATGTCGCCATGCGATGGTCAAGCAGAAACACGATGTCCACATAATCCCGGGTAACTAACATTCGTCCGACAAGAATACAATACTCGAATTGTGGGACCTAAGGGTTGAGTATGGTTAGCGATTTAACAGAAGTGCGATGGACCTAACACGCACCACAAATCGGATAGACGTCTGCTAATTTGCCGTGTATCTTGATGTGACCTGAGATGTTTGGGTATGGGGCGAACGAAATGCCTATACATTCTGTGGGCAAACTCTTCCGCGTAAGTTTGTCGAGTAAGACAAAGCAATCAATTGAGTCGAGCGCAATCTTGGCGTCTGGTACCACAACTGCAGTCGACCTGCCGCAGAGTAAATACATGCTTGGTGCGGTCCCGTCCCGTTCGGGAACCTGTCTGTTCTTTTTCTATACGAGTTTCCCATTCCACAGTAGTTCGACGGACTAAAATAGAGGTCAACAGGTCTGCAACTACTTGTGTCAAACTGTTATTAATTTGCGTGGCGTGACGTAATAACCCCATTGTATATTGTCCCCATGATTGCTCAGCCCCTGTTAGTTTGGGCAATACACACTACTTGCTTATTCGAAAAGGGGGATGAATTCTTTGCCAAGGACCTCGGCACTATTCCTAAGTAGTGTAGGAAGAGTATAGACTCGTGAACAGGGGCTCGGAGACAGTTGAGGGCTGGGCTAGATTTTCGAGCCGTAGATTCAGTTGTAACCAAGTTAACCACCCGTGATTCAAAAAAGAAAGCTAACCGAACTAATCTCAAAATTGCCTCTCGCACTAAGCAAGACGTCATTCCTTATGGGAAATAGGTCGCTGGTGCTGTTTTTAACTGCATTACTAGCATTTAAGTTCCCCGTGAACTAGTTTCAAGTGTCTGCCTAAGATACACCCTTACTCATCCACTTCCTGAGCACTTAGAGTTTGCCAAGCTTCCTTGTTAGCTCGCAGGCTCCATTTTAACTCGTGCAATCTGTTTGGTCGCTCTGTGCTCATAACCAGCAGGAACTCTTCTTTAGGACTTTTTGGGCACCCAATATCTGGTTCGCCGACGATCAATGTTGTCACAAACAGAGGTCTTCGAGTCGGGCATGGTTAGCGAAGTCCCATTCCATCGAACCTAGATAACAACACACTAGTTAGATACAAATTTGATGTCCTGACAGCCTTGCCTAACCGATACATGAGACATCTTACCTTCCAAGCAAGAAGAGTATTCGCTTCATTTGCTGTCAATGTCCGTGGAAACTCATTAGCAGATTGGTGCATAATCAAAGTGGTGTTACATGTTCCGGAACGATCTGCAGCCAATGATCGGACTATGCCACCCAAGGCTTAGTGATGTGATCAACCTAAGTCTATCGCTCGTCATTTGCCGAGGTGCGCGAAGTGGCACACTGGCACCCATCGTACCTGAACGCAGTGCCACTTAGAAGCAGGCAACTACTGACGCGCCGTTACCATAAACGATTGCCGTCTAATATAGCCTCAGTGTTGCGTTTAAACCTACCGCCTGAATTTTCGAACATATTAGACGACCTACTTGTACATTCATACTCTGCAACCAGAACAACATCTGATTTGGTAATACTGCGAAGGGACCTGTTCTTAGTGGTCGAAAGCGTCCTTGATAGTATCAGGAATGCAGTCGATGGAGGTGTAAGCATTACTAGCCAATGGACAGTACCTAACCCTGCTCCGTGCGTCGATTTTACTTGGCAGCAGACGCACTTCGCAGGGACGCTGTTCGCCTAAACCCAATAAGGCAGCAACTGCTAAGGTGTGGAGTTAGAAGCCGCCGTCTCCGAATACCCGCTCTTGCATGGATTTGGGC